TGGGGAATTCTGGGAGTTGAAGTCCACCTATCTTAAAGTTGCCAAGGTTGAGACACACTGCTTTAGACTACATTAGGAGTTAGTCAGCTGTTCAGTCAAGAGGGGGAACCCCACTTTCTGTGGTCACCCCGTTGGACGGTCTTAACCAATCCCAGCGTGATCTCCCTGGTGGCATTGGTAACGATAATTCAACCAGCTTTACAATCTACTCTTGAAACGCCAGTTCTTCTGGAATACCCTTTGCTATCCATTCAGGGCATCAGCCCCGTTTTGCTTTTAACGACCGCTTCATTTCCTCCTCCTCTGACGTTAAACAAGTTTATGACAGCACCTGCTAGTTTTTGGTCAAACCTTCACAAAATGATACTGGGGTTATTTTACGTGTCGCTGCATTGTCTCCCTTTCTCCTGCTCCTGTTTTCCAGGCTGAAGACAAGATAATCCCCGAACCTCGACTTAAGAAATTAGAGCCTGTCCTTCTCCCAGGTAAACATTCCAGACAGATGTCAGAACAGGCTTTGCCCCGCGCAGGATTCTGCAGGAATGCGTTTCTTAGCCTTGAAGATATCGCAAGACTCTTGTTGTTCCTTAAGGGCCTAATTTCCTTTTTTAGGCATCTGCCGCTCTTCTTTCAAATGACAACTTTCTCTTATTTGTACTGACAGCTTGAACATTGTACCTTTTCGCGTGTCTCTGTCTACCGACTGCAACCGTTTGCAGGTCCAGCGCAAATGCTTTTTCCTCCTTCGAAGATCCTCCGGCTTTCCAAAACGGATTTTTAAAAAAAAAAAAATCAGAAGAGGCCCATATGCAGGATTTATTAGCCAAACGGATCTCCTTGCTTTTGAGAAAACGGCTTCTCGAGAAGAAAGGAGAGGGGCGTCCGTTTCTTTACCAGTTGGCACGGAGTATAAAATTAAATCACCTGGCAGCCTTGTGACATTTTTGTTTTCGCAAATAACCAGCAGGAGTGGAGGAATGCTTCTGTCTGACAGAGGAAACTAGAGGCGTTTTCTCTTTTCCAACCGCTCAGCTATCTCCTGTAAAATCTCCCACAGCTCATTGTGAAGGAGAAGCTGCTTACTAAGAATCAGGAGGAAAGTTAAGGTGGCCTGATAAAAGGTTTGCCAATATTTGTGGGCTCCCTTCCAGGTTATTTTTTAAACCCTCGGCGCATCAGTACTTTGTATTTAACTTTACGGAGTCAGGGAGGGAGCATTCAGCGTTGCAGGTATTGCTCTTAACGCTTTCTCGCTCTGGACGGCCAGGTTCCTGTGTTGCCGTCGGAACTCCGTAGGCTGAGCCTCCCAGTTGTGCCTAGTGATGCACGGGTTGGTGTGGATTCCAGAAAGGGGCCTTCGGGTTCCTCGAGCAAAATCTGCCAGTGCCTCACCTTGTTATCGGCGTTGCAGTGGCCACAGCAGAGCAGAGCTCGGCTGACCACGTTTGTGCCCCTGTTGCGTTCACGCTCAGTGATTTATTGGCATTTGATCTCTCTGGCTTTTGCAATGTGCTTCCTGGGAGCAGGTGCCGGATTGTGACTTGCCAAGGAAGGTCTCAAAGGGATCGTGCAGAATCCTACGTTGGCAGTGAATTTAGAACGGAGTAGCATTCTTGCTGCTTTTGCACAGAAGCGCTGCCTTGATGGGGAAAGTGTTTGCGCAACAACAGGGAAGAGTGGGAGGCGGTTGTGAGCTGGAGAACGATATTCCTAAATTCAGTTGCCTGAAGGGAATAAGAGTGCTTTTTCATGCTGAGCGGTTGGGCAATGCGAAAGGAAAAAAAAACTTTGAGTGAACTCTGATTGTTATCTTATTCTGGCACATCTTGAAGGTCACAATGCACTGAGGCAAGCATGGAGGTCTCTCCTCCCTTCTTAGAACCATGTCCTTCCTGTACGGCCTGTCAGACAACAAGCTTATTCTGGGGTTATTCAAATACGTCCCGCCATTTTAAAGGTTTCTGCAGATGACTGTTCCCATACGGTTGCTAGTTGGGCATCTTCATGAGGTCACCAGAGTAAAGCTCCGTGGGCAGGAGATTTCAAGGTTAGGGTTTTAAGCACATTTTCCACACTAATCAATGTTGTTATATAATCATGTTGGCCTAGGGGAAGGCCACATGTCAAGGACCTTCAGGTAAAGTTCACAAGATGCCCTGGCAGGAGTCGGGATGCCCAGATAAGGAATAAGCAGAAATAAAGCAATCAGCCCTTAGTACAGTGTCGGGTTACGAACGCCTCTGTTAACGAACTTTTCGGGTTACAACCAGCTCCGGCCGTGAAAATTTACTTCGGTTTGCAAACTCCGCCTCGGGTTACGAACCGGATCTGCGGCCATTTGCCCTGCTGCCACGCGGTCGCGGCTTCCTGTGGGCGAGATCGCGGGAGCAAGGAGACGTTAGGGGAGGCTTGTGGGGTGGTTTGTGGCGTTTG